ATGGGCAATAACTCTAATAAGGAGTCGACTGAAGATTTCGACCATGAAGACTTATTTGTAGAACTTGTCTTGCTGATCATTTTTGCAATTTATAGTTTTCAAGATAATAGGCAAAAATGAAAAAAATGGTAAAATTTGTCATTTAAGGGCAATAACTCCTATAAGAAGTCGTCTGACAGTTTTGACGTATAATAACAATTGGTAGAGCTCAACATTCTGAACATTTTTGCCCTGTCAGATTTTTCTATTTATAACGGTTTTCAAAATAAAAGACAAAACTTGCAATTTACCCCTATGTTCTATTTTTAGCCATGTCAGCCTTCTTCAAGTTTGCAGGCCGAGTCATCTGACATATTTTTTAAACTAGATACCCCAATGATGATTGTGGCAAAGTTTGGTTAAATTTTGGCCCAGTAGTTTCAGAGGAGAAGATTTTTGTAAAAGTTAACAGACGCAATGACGGACGCCGACGGACGACGAACGCCAAGTGATGAAAAAGCTCACTTGGTCCTTTGGGCCAGGTGAGCTAAAAAGCACTTTTTTTTTGTTCTATAAGACTTTTTTTTAATATCTTAGAGAAATGAAGGCTTCAGAGCAAATGCAATGTGATTTCCATTATAATTAATATTTCCAAGGGGCATAACTTGTTAAAAATATTTGATCAGAACTTATTTCCGAAAGTGTCAAAGACATTTCTGATATAAACCTATGATATAAGTCTCATAAAATTCTAGCAAGAATTGAACTTATGAGAGCGCTAAAAATGCAATTTTTCCGTATAATCAATATTTCCAAGGGGCATAACTCTTTTAAAAATAAATGATCGGCACTGATTTTTGAACTCGTCAAAGACATTCATGATATAAACCTATAATATAAATTTCATATAAATCTGGGAAGAATTGTACATATTAGGGCGCTCATTGGGCAATTTTCCATATAATTAATATTTCCATGGGGCATAATTCTTTTAAAAACTTTTGATCGGCACTGATTTTGGAACTCATCAAAGACATTGCTGATATAAACCTATGATTTAAGTTTCAGAAAATTCTGGCAAGAACTGTACACATGAGAGCACTAACAATGCAATTTTCCATATAATTAATGTTTCCAAGGAGCATAACTCTTTTAAAAATAATTGATCAGGACTGATTTTCGAACTCATTCAAGACATTGCTGATATAATCGTATTATATCAGTTTCATAAAAAAATCTGGCAAGAATTGTACATGTGAGAGCGCTATCAAGACCGGACAGACGGACAGACAGACAGACACCCGGTATTTCTATATACAATAAAGAGCTGCGCGATGAGCGCATGATACGCCCGTCTCTTTTTCAAGGAATTAAGTTCCATAACTCCTCAATGTCATATTAGAAATTCATAAAAAGCAAAAGGGAGGTTAATTTAATAGATAAAGTTTCATGAAAACTGCTCAAATCACTTTTGAGTTATTGTCCGAAACTGGAAAATCCCCCCCACCTCAATAAATAAAATCCCATAACTCGGAAACGTTTATATAAATCGAAAGGGAGCTTATGTCAATAGATATAAACAATTCACCAAAGTTTCATTTAAATTGGGGAAAGCGTTTTTGATTTATTGTCCGATATATTGTCGACAGACAGTCAGACGTACAACTGTATACAATAATACGTCTCGTAAACGGGCGTATAAAAAGGAGCTATAAGGGAGGTGTAGTCAATAATGAATGGAAATGCCAATACATTAAGTAAATCAGCTAGATTGATCAGAATTTTACTACAAAACAGATAATCTGAAAATTAATATTTCACTTAAAAACATGTGTCATTAAGCTTAAGGCTCCAAAAAGAATTGAAAACAGACATTTATACTCCTGAATTCATCAACTATTTTTACCTAGTAGTTACGTAAAGATAAATAGCAGTCTTTATAATGATTATACCAGGATCTTCCAAGATCAGATCTGCCTTTCCGATTTGGCTGTTGTTAGAAAGAAAAACAGCTGTGACTTTTGAATCCCAGTAGGGATTAAATATGTCACTGTGGTCTAGCATGTTTGCCTCCAATGGGGAAGATGGTAGATTTGGGTTAAAACAAAAAACTGGTATTTGCTACTATTTAACCAGGCAACAGCATTTAGGAGTATAGGCCTAACAGGTCAGTCAGGATTTAGATTAGAGTGCCTTAGTAGGGACAGGTCAGCTTGGAGTCAGATCAATGTGTCTAATTGGAGTTATATGTTTTCTAGCTAACTGTTTCCATGCATTTTATAGATATAAGAAGATGTGGTATGAGTGCCAATGAGACAACTCTCCATCCAAGTCAAAATTTATAAAAGTAAACCATTTTAGCATGTTAAAAATTTACTCAGCATCCATATCCCAAAATTGTAAACAAGACCTAGTTTGAATTTGTGATAAAACTTGTTTAATGATAAAGGTATTTGAAATTTTGCATAATTTGTCGAATAACTTTACGTAAAATAATAAACAGCTGCGCCATGAGCGCATGATACGCCCCTCGTCTTGTGTGTGAATTTTTATGCAATAAGCATAAATAGTTTCTAACATACGGCGTGACATGCGAAAACCCCCTTTCTTTTTTTACAAAAAACTCAATATCTATAAAATAAAATTTTGAATCAAAACCAAAAAGTATACAGATCTTAAGATTAATATAACTAAGAAGTGTGTAAAATTTTAAGCAATAATCATAAATCGTTTTTGAGATACGGCGCGACATGTGAAAACACCCCTTTTAAAAAAAAAAATCAATATCTCAAAAATAAAATTTTGAATCAAAACCAAAAAGTATACAGATCTTTAGATTAATATAACTAAGAAGTGTGTAAAATTTTAAGCAATAATCATAAATCATTTTTGAGATATGGCGCGACATGTGAAAAACCCCTCCCCCTTTTTTTACAAAATACTCAATAACTCAAAAATAAAATTTTGAATCAAAACCAAAAAGTATACAGATCTTAAGGTTAATATAACTAAGAAGTGTGTAAAGTTTTAAGCAATAATCATAAACTGTTTTTGAGATACGGCGCGACATGTGAAAAACCCCTCCCCCTTTTTAACAAAATACTCAATAACTCAAAAATAAAATTTTGAATCATCACCAAAAAGTATACAGATCTTAAGATAAATATAACTAAAAAGTGTGTAAAGTTTTAAGCAATAATCATAAATTGTTTTTGAGATACGGCGCGACATGTGAAAAAAAACACACACCTGTTTTAGTTACTAAGTCCCGTAACTCAAAAAGTTTTAATCTTATTTTCACCAAAGATCGTTTGACCATCATAAGAAACAACTATGTTAAGTTTCATGAAATTTGGATAAGTCATTCTCTAGTTACGGTGCGACATGTTTACGCCGGACAGACAGACGGACAGACAGATGGACAGACGGACAGACAGACGGACAGACAGACGGACAGCGGACATTTGTATAACATAATACGTCCCGTCAAAAATTTGACGGGCCTATAAAAATTATCAAAGTTAAAACAATGATTGCTCAGCATTGAAAATGTTTAAATGTTTCAAATTATAACATTATATTCATTGTTAAAATTTACACCTCAAAGCTGTGAATGGTACAACATTAAAGTCATTGTTAAAATTTACACCTCAAAGCTGTGAATGGTATAGTTTGACCACAACTTGAACACAGCATGTTGATAAGTGAAATTTACACACAGGAATGGACTTCCAGGACTCTTGCCTTGGTAACTTCCTGGATTCACTGTATTATGTCCTCCCTCGCCTAGATTTTCCATCTACAGGTAAAGTTTTCAATTAAACAACAGAGACAACTGTTAACTTACCTGGTAAGCTTTGGCAATACATGTATATAAGCACACATAAAAATTTTGATTGAAAGTCATACATGTCATAAGGGGACTATTACCGTGGAGGGTATAATATTCTAGCAAAATCTGGTCCAAGCAGGTTTACTGCAATTGCAGATAAAAATATCATTTGTATTCAAATGATTCTATAATTATATTGACAGCTATGTTAGTTTTCCCCCAAGCAGCTTATTATTAATTATTGCTCTGAAGGTAGATCAGTCCATAAGGTGCCACTCAATTTGATGGCAATTAAATTCATGGTCTTCTAATTGTTCATCAAAAATGCAAATGCAATGCATACATAATATCTTACTGCAGTCTTCATTATAAATGTAAGATGTGTAAATTCATAGAAACCCTAAAAAATACAACTTACCCTGAATACATGTAGATAAAACTATAAACTACAAAAAAGTATTGTCTAAATAGTAAAATTAATAAATCCATAACATAAACACATGTTCCAATAATGAGTCAATTATAAAACTGTCTCCCATCCTTCTCTATTATGAGGTAGACACCATGGCAACCAATAAGAAAATCAATAACCTATATAGAACAACTATAATAGTATCAAGGAAAATTGATTTTACAAAAAAAATATCTGATTTACTTTTTCTTCAAATATTCTCTATCAAATGTTATTGTTAATCAGATTCATCTGACATTTTCAAATTAAAAATAATTTTTAATACATATCCTACATCTAAAGTATTTATTATGGCACCTTAAATGATTTATTCAATAGACCAATATTTCTTTGGAGCTTCTTTTGGTCCCTATTTCTTAGATTTAATTTTTATAAATTCCACGTACATACATGTACACACTGTGGTCAAATAATAGGACAAAATGTTCATGTTAAGTGATTTAAATTTAGGTGGGAATGAGTTTTCATACTTTTGTTGAGAATAAATAAAGAACTGCTGACTTAACTCCTCCTAAATTTCTTGTTGGTAAAGTTTCCTTAAGTGGATACTGATGGTATGTAGGGTTAAATACCGCTAAATTGACAACAACACTTAAGTAAGCTGTAACCTTTATCGGTCAACTTGTTTCGCCGCTTAGATTCACATCTTGTTCGAAATTCATTTCTCTTGTCTTGTTGTCATTCTATATTATGATATTTCTATATAATTATACTTACGAACTTTCAAATGTCCAACCGCCTCAATGTAGTCTTCCTTAAGTAAAAAAAAACCACCCAAAATAAAATAAATCAACTCACAATTGAAAAGAATAACATGGAGAAACCAAGACATGATATATATTTTATAAATTACAGAAGCTTAAATCATGCTAATTATCAATGAGACATAAATCTAGTTTTTGGCATGCATTGACAATTAACGCTTTAAGAGTATAATTTATGAATTGATTTATGTCAGCACTTGTGTTCTAGTGGTATCCTGCATAGACTGAAGAATATGATGTTAAGCAAGGAAATATGGGTAAGTTTGAACCCTTACCCATCCCTTTGACATTCAAGGACTTTTGACGTTTTTTACCCGAATAAACGCTGTCCAATTTCAATCAAATAGAACATTTTAACAGAAGCTCAAGCGAAGGCCAACCTGGGATCATTTGAAGATAATTGATTGAATTTTCCAAAAAAAAAATATTTTAAAGAAAATATTCCTTTTCTTGGTCACGGTGGTATCTCTCAAAAAGTCATGTGACTTGTTTAAAAAAAATTTTAAATATACAATTCAAGGGTAAATGATATCGTACAGGCATTTTGATACCAAAATAGTATCTAGTTTTGTGCAAAAGCAATGCACAAAGTCTTTTGAAAATGGACTAGGTGCCGAATGTATATAGAAAGTCGAAACACATGCCAGAGGCGTCAAAATATCAATGCTCAAAACATCCAAAAAATAACAGATTTGTAAAGAATTTTGGTCAAAGTCAAATTAATTGCACAAGTATCTGTAAAAAAAAATGTGTTAATTTAAACTGTAAACAGAATGAGTCCTATACGAAAGAATATTCATTGACTTTACAATAATAATCTGGTATGGATGGCCACAGAAACCATTGGTAAAATTATGGAATATAAGTATGCAAGTCTACAGTCTACTTCTCTGGAAGTTAAAAAAAATTAGAAGAACATCTTCTAACTTCTTTTCTCTTATGAAGCCCTTTTTTCAAATCCCATTATTTTCAAGCAAATATATGAGAAAATAATACAGAAATGTTTGTACTCTTCATGGTTTTTGGATGATTCTTTCCAACTCAGATTCGTACCAACCAATTTGTCCCCAGTTGCTTGGTCAATTCATTCCAACTTTTAAAAGAACAGTGTTTAGCTATATGAACTATTAAAATAACCTTATTATGTTAATTTTTAAGTGTTGTACATATAGAATTTATATAAAATGTATATAAATATTTATTTCAATGTTTTATTCTGGAAATGACATATTGACAGTATACTATTTATTTAAGTATATATTTCATGACAATTTAATATACATATAAAATAAACTGTTATCACAGAGATATGTCTCGCCTTTTTGTAATTTTGATAATGTAAATGTTGAAGTTATAAAATAGCAACACTTTAATATGTAAGTTATGTAAATATTCAAAGTCGATGAACCATGACTGAAGATACATGGCTAAACAATCTCCATGGAATGAGATGTGCCAATGCTAATACAACTGCATACCAAATACCACTGACTTATTATAAGTCTTTCCCTTTAAACAAACCTAAACACAAACATTAACTTGTAAACCATGTAAAAAGTTTCAAAGTCAATGAACCATGATCAGGGGTGGCCAAATAATCTCCATGGTAATGAGATATGCCAATGCTTATACAACTGAACACCAATTAAGGATGTTCGCTCCTCTTGTTTTTGAATATTTTGCCAGATATTCGGAATCCTCTGGTTTTATCCATGTAGTGCCATTAAAAATATTTCCCCACTAACCCCTACTTTTCTTTTCATAATTTTATTACATAAAGTTTTAAAAGCTATATTTGAAAATCCTATAAAATCCTTGTTATTTTTTCATATTTTTTCAAAGAAAAAGGGTGCTAATGTTAAATGTATGAAAAGTCTAGAGAGAATTATTTCCCGCCAAATTTTCAATGGCTTATATCTCGAAAACAAGCACACGGACTCTTCATTTTTTTCTGCTTTTTTAGTTCCTTTATTTATATACTATCAATTTATAAAAGTCTTTTAAAAAGCTTGTTATTCTGAAACAAAGTAGCGAACATCCTTAACATTGACCTACCACTAATGGTTCCCCATAAATTGACCTAATCACAAACTAATACATGTAAACTATGAAAAGTTTCAAAGTCAATAGACCTTGACTGAGGGGGCAGGGCCAAATAATCTCCATGGTAATGAGATATGCCAATGCTTATACAACTGCATACCAAATATCATTGACCTACCACTAGTGGTTCCCCATAAATTGACCTAATCACAAACTAATACATGTAAACTATGAAAAGTTTCAAAGTCAATAGATCTTGACTGAGGGGGCGGGGCCAAATAATCTCCATGGTAATGAGATATGCCAATACTTATACAACTGCATACCAAATATCATTGACCTACCACTAGTGGTTCCCCATAAATTGACCTAATCACAAACTAATACATGTAAACTATGAAAAGTTTCAAAGTCAATAGACCTTGACTGAGGGGGCGGGGCCAAATAATCTCCATGGTAATGAGATGTGCCAATGCTAATACAACTGCATACCAAATATCATTGACCAACCACTAGTGGTTCACCATGAACTAGACCTAATCACAAACTAATACATTGTTGACGCAGCCGCCACAAACAGCATAACTATTTCTCGCTTTTTGACTCCGTCAAGGCGAGACAAAAACTACAAAATACTTTTATTTTCAAAGAAATCATTATTTTATTTTAATTCCTTATTGCATTTTCATACTATGATCATAAAAGTCTTTTATCCCAATCTTCCTTTTGAGGTGTGGAACCTTGTGGTACAATTTAATAGAGATCCACACATGTACACTTATACTCAAGTTATTGTCCTAAAACAAGAAAGATACTTGTTTTTGGCCCCTTTTTGGTCCCTAGTTCCTATACAGTTATGACAATAACCCCCAAAATCAATCCCAACCTTCCTTTTGTGGTATGGAACCTTGTGGTACAATTTCATAGAGATCCATACACTTATACTCAAGTTATTGTCTGGAAAACAAATATCTTTGGATGATGACGTCATTACATTATACGATCGCAAAAAATTTGTGGTCGTATAAAAATGTATAACTTTATTAAATAAACTAATATACTTCACACAATTCTGTGTTTTTCAACACATTGTTTGTTAAAATCCAATCATAAATGCTTTCAAAATAATTTATTGAAAAATGTAGTTTTATATGAAATATACAGCACAAAATTGTATGGGATTTATTATAAGTGAAAATTACTGTTGCCATGCACTGTACACTGATCTATACAACAACTATAATATATGGAGACATATTCATTAAAAAAATTAGGAACAAATTGTTTAGTCCCAGTAATAATGAACTAAAATCAGTTGGAATGAATTGACCTTTGATTTGGGACGAATTGGCTTGGAACGAATCGAAATTGGAAGGAATTGACTAATGTTCACTTTTCATTGATATGTAACTTTTCCTTCATTTAAGCTATATGGTGCCCAACATGCTCATAATCAAGCACTACAGAAGCAAAGTTTTGTTACTGCAATTCCAACTCCACTAACAATTTTCAGGACTTTTTTTAGATTCGTAACGTCCCAGAAAAATAGGAACAAACAAAGAATTTCTTAAATTGTTCCTATGCTAATTTTTAGATTGCAAAAATGGAATTATCATCATTATATATTTAATTGGTTAAATATTGGAACAATATCCTAGTATCATGATCAAAGTACAAATTAAAATAAACTAAAGGAAAATTCATGAAATAATAATATATGATTAGATTATTATAAATGACTACTGGTATGTGGTTTGCGAGAATATATTAGCAATTGTCCAAGTAATTATAATACGAAGATAAATATTATCTATTATGATTATTTTATAAAATTAGAGATGGGTATGTTATTTTTTTTTAAGAAAACTGTGAGAGTTTTCCAAGGGAGATGTGTGTCTAAATAGCAAATGACTACCGTCTCCAAAAAACAAATTCTGCAAAGTCAATTATTTGTTTTTATGTGCACCCCTCTCCCAAAATAAAATAAATTAACTCAAATCAAAAGTTAAAATAGCAGGTACACAACTTTGAGTTCCACCTAAAGAAAAATGAGTGCAAGTTTTTTGGAATCACGTCAATTCTTTTTCAAGATGTCAATGCAATCTGTATTCATAAGTGAGTTTAGAGGGTTCAGCCGACAGGCATTTTTGACAATTTTATAAAATAATTAGACGATAAAAAACGTTGTATTTATAAGCAAATAAACAGAGTTCCAATGTCTCCCGCGATGCACATATTCTATCTGTCCATTTAAGGCAATTAACTAAAAAAAAATTTCCACGGGGCATAACTCATTAAAAATATTTGATCGGCACTGATTTTCAAAATTGTCTGAGACATTGCTATTATAAACCTTTGATATGAAATTGATAAAAATCTAGCAAAAATTGTAAATGAGAGAGTGCTTAAAATGCAAATTTCCATAAAATTTATATTTCTAAGGAGCACTACCCTTTAAAAAATAATTGATCGGCACTGATTTTCGAACTTGTCCGAGACATTGCTGATATAAACCTTTGATATGAATTTGATGAAAATCTGGCAAAAATTGTACATGTGAGAGCACTTACAATGGAAATTTCCATAAAATTTATAATTCTAAGGGGCACAACTCTTTGATCAGCACTGATTTTCGAACTTGTCCAAGACAATGCTAATATACCGGGGTAAACCTTTTATATTAGTTTCATAACAATCTGGCAAGAATTGTACACATGAAAGTGCTAAAAATGCCTTTTTCCATATTATTAATGTTTCCAAGGGGGCAAAACTCTTTTAAAAATAATTGACACGGCACTGGTTTTGAACTCGTGCCAGACATTGCTGATATATAAATCTTCAATATATTGCACGAGATTCATAAAAATCTGGCAAGAATTGTAAACATGAGAGCGCTAACTATTTTCCATATAATTAATGTTTCCAAGGGCATATAACTCTCCATAAG